CGGAGCACTGGTTTCCTTGCCTTTCCCGGCTTCTAGGGCCCCTTCCCCTAGTTTCCAGGCCAGCAGGCTGAGCCCCCACGTTGCGCGCTCTGGCCTTCCTCCCGCCCCCTTCGACTTTTCAGGACTCATGTGATTGCAACGGGCCCACCTGCCAGGTTATGTCCCTAGTTAAGGTCAGCTGATTAGCAAACCTGATTCCGTCTGCTGCCCTAATTCCCAGGGCCGTCTAATGTCGGATTCTGGGCACTGGGACGTGGATGTCCCTGGGGGGCCGTTAGTCTGTCCGCCAGAGCACGTTGCATGCGTCATCAGTTCCTCCCCAGATCCTCGGGCAGTGGGGACTGTCATCGTCACCCTTGATTTATCTGCAGCTCTGCAGTGCTGATGACCCCTCCGGAGAGCGGAAAAGCGGGGTCTCAGGCCAGGGCCGCCTGGCTCGGAGGCCCCCACCCTGTGCCGACTGACTAGGCTTTGTTCGCTCCTTCCCGCCCCTGGGAATGTCCCGTGAGGAGAAAATCACAGATGTGCCCGACGATGGCGCAAGTTTTCACGGGAACGTGGTTTACAGCCGCGAAAAACCTCCAGGAGCCTAATCGAGCAATAGGTACTCAGAGAGGCCTGGCTAAGAAAACAGATGCATGGCAGGGCGCCTGGGGGGCTCAGTCGGTTAAGCGTCCGACTTTGGCTCAGGTCATGGTCTCGCGGTCTGTGGGTTCGAGCCCCGCGTCGGGCTCTGTGCTGGCGGCTCGGAGCCTGGAGCCCGCTTGGGATTCTGTGTCTCCCTCTCTCTCTCTCTCTCTCTCTCCCTGCCCCTCCCCCGCTTGCGCTCTCCCTCCATGATAAATAAACATTAAAAAGAAAGAAAGAAAATGGATGCACGTTAACTCTACTGGAATGAAAACGAAAAAGTTAATAAAAAAAAGAGGAAGTGATGTGTGCAGCTGACGGCTCTGTGGGACACTGGGAGGGCATCTGGAGACGTGCCTGCCCCAGAGACGTGTCCGTGACATCCGATGAAATAAAAGAGCACATTAGGAAAAGAATATGTGCCATTCTGCTTGGTTTGAAGTGCGTGTGTGTGCGCGCGTGTGTGTGTGTGTGTGAGAATTCAGGTGGATGGCACAGGGCACGGTCGCGTTAAGGGTCATCTCAAGGCAACATGACGCCAAGATGAACTGAAAGGCTAGTTTCTTCGTGCCCGTCTTTCCATTTCCCCCAGCGTGAACGTATATCCTTTTCGTAGGAAAAGAAAACCATATGTGCAACCTGAGTTTGAATATAACATGAGTGACCTTTCCCGCCTCCCGCTGGCTCGCGAGCCGGGCGAGTGTGGTGGGCACTCTGGACGCCCGGGCTTGAGCTATGGCCCAGGCTGGCACCTGTGCGTGTCTGTCGCGCGTCTCTGTGCCTGCGTGAGGGCGCAGAAGCATCACTGGGACAGACGTGCCCCAGGGCCACCTCTCTCCATGGTGGGGTTGCAGCATCTGGGCGCCCAAGAGCCTCATTGTAACCGTGATGAGACCAGTGCTCTGGCCTTCCCCAAGGGTCCACCCCCCTCCCCCAGGGCTTGTCCCCAAGCCGGCTCCCAGCGGCCTCTCTCACCTGTGAACTTCGACTTGGAGGTGCAGCCCCTCCCCGGGGCAGAGCGGGCACAGCCCCAGAGCCAGCAAGGTCTCTCAGCCCCAGCCACAGGCCCCGCCCACCCCCTCCTAGGTGGCGGCCCCAGTCTTCACACCCAGCTCTGTCCCTCTGTCCCGCCGCCCTCGCCAACCCCATCCCCAAATCCTCAACAGACAGAACAGCTGTTTTGTCCCTTTTCTGGGGCTGGAGTGGGGTTCATCCCTCTCCCGGGATTTGAACCACGGTGACCAGGAGCACAGAATCCCTGAAGCTCTGCGGTTGCCATGGAGAAGGGTGCAGGTGATTGTACACCCGGCCCTGCCCTGTGCACCCCCACCCCGGGGCCCAGGCAAACCATGCCAGAGGCCAGCCCGCACTGGTCCCACCATGACACGGGCACACGCCCACCTCCAGATTCCCCAGCTCCCGACTGACACCTGCCCAGCCAAGCCCCTAGCGTCCTGCCCCACCCCCAAGGGCCCAGGGAGCACGCGTGGTCCTCTCCAGGGGCACGGTGGCCCAGGCAGCTCACTCTTTCCTTCGCAGACCTCAGCTGGGGGCTCTGTCTCTCTAATGCTCACACCTGTGCACGGCCAGCCTCAGCCCCATTTTATGGAGGGGAACACCGAGGCTCAGAGGGCTCAGTGATTCGTCAGGGCCAGAATTTGAAGCCCGATCTGTCTGACTCCCATGTGTGTGCTCTTTCCTCCACACCGGCCTGCCCGGCCCAACTCCAGCTTGGCCCCCACTCCCGCCTTGGCCCTCCAATCAAGTGACCTTTACCGAGGAAACCCAGGCGGGTGATTCTCTGGCCTACACCTTTGGGGCCGGGCCACCTTGAGGGCACCTGTCCTCAGGCCCCTGCCTCGCTTCTTGGAAGGCAGACACTCGGTTAAGCGTCTGACTCTTGATTTCGGCTCGGGTCATGATCTCACAGTCGTGGGATCAAGCCCCACGTCGGGCTCTGTGCTGGGCGTGGCTGCCCCCTCCCCACTCTCTCTGTCACGTACGCTCTCGCTCTCTCTCAAAAAAAAAAAAAAATTAAATAAAAAAGTGGCACACCTGAAGCTAATACAACTCTTGTGCACCAACTAGATGTCAATAAATAATAGGAAAAGCCAACCCACCCGTTGCCGGCAACCTTGCCCCGACGCTGGGGGGCGCCCTGCCCTTCTGTTTCCCAGAGGGCTTCTCTGCCCTGAGGCCGCTCAGGCCTGGGCTCCAATCCTGGCTGTGCCACATCCTAGCTGGGTGACTTTGGGGAAACGACTTTCCTTCTCTGAGCCTCAGTCTTCTCACCTGTAAAATAGGGCCAAGTCCCCTCCCCTCCCCTCCCCGCCTCTCCCAGAATCAGTCGTGAACTGAATGTCAGCTCCGCTGACAGGTGGTTCCGGAGAGGTTAGGAATGAAGGAGAGGCCTGGGATCTGAGGGGTAAAGTGGAAAATGTCGATTCTGCACAGCCTCTCGGAAAAATAGACGAGGTCAGCGTTACCCTGATGACCCAAGCGGACACAGACAGATCAAGGACGGCCCTCGTGGCCCTAGAGGCAAAAATCCTTAACAAGATCTTTATCCAGTCCGATCCAGCAGTATTTAGAAAAAAAAGGGTACTGCGTCGTGACCCCCGGGGTTTATCCCGGGCACGCAGGCTTGGTTTACCATTCAAACATCACTTCTTAAAATTCACCAGGAAAAAAAAAGAGGGAGCAGGTATTGGCTTTGGTCACAGGAGTGCGGTCCCTATACCCATGCGACAACACACCCATACTTTCCGGTTGCATCGCTGGGGCTCTGGAAGCTGTCCCCTCGTCTCCCCTGCCCCCGGTCCCCGCCCCCAGGCTCTCTCCAGAAACAGTGGGGGGATGGCGGGTTCCTGAGGATTCACAGCCTCGTCCCAACCCCGCCCCCAGCTCCGCTCTCGTGGGCTCCCTCAGAGGGGTCCGTCCAAGATGCCAGGGTGACATCCTCGGGCACAGACCTTATGCCAGGCTCCCCCACGGAGGGCGCCCCGGGGTCACACATGCCCTCACAGGAATCACTGTCATCCTCGTCTGACAGATCAGGACACGAGGGCCCCGAGAGGGGATGTCACCGCTGCCAGGAAGAGCTGGCACTGGCCTGAGCCTGGGTCTCTAGCACCCGGTGTAACTGACACCCCACAGCATATGCCTTCCAGACAAGGCTTCCCAGGATGCCTTTCCTCTTAAGCATTTGTTAGGCGCTCGGGGTGCCACCGGCTCCCCTTAAGCTTTAGGGGGGCCGCCGAGGGGCCTCCATTCTCCAGCATCCCCTCTCATCCTAGACGCTCCAGAGACCGCCCCCCCCCCCCCCCCCCCCGCAGAGGCAGAGCCCTTGGGGACCTGTGTCCCTGCTGGGGACGTGGGCCCGTCCCCAGCCCAAAGCTGGAGCGGGATCCACCGTGGACAGCAGGTTCCCAGGGTAGGGGCGAGGTGAAGAAGGAAGACAGCCTCACCCCACTCTGTTCCGCATCCCGTAAGCTCGCCACCTGGGAGCGTCCGTGGAAATGCGCAGAATGTATTTCAAAGGCTCCAGAAGCGGCCGATGTTCAACGTGGCAAGTTGGGGGTTTAAATCGTGGTGGCCCGGCCGGTTGGGTGCCCCAGAGCCCCTCGAGGGAAAAGACAAGGTGCAGGTGTCCCACACCCCTAGCAGCAAAGGGAACACTGGAGGCTCAGGAGAGAAGCCCGGGGCCTTGGGGGGGTGGGTTGCGGAGGGAGGGCGGGTCCTGTCTGCTGGGGCAAGTCCCAGGCGGGGGGTGGGGGGGGCGGGGGTGGGGTGGGGGTTCCCTGCAGCAGGAGGGGAGGGTAGTCAGGCCTGAGGGCTAGGCCTGTGGAGTGCTCAGGGTCCGGAGACCCACCCACCCACCGTTCACCATGGGCAGCTGGACCCCTCTGCAGACGGGAATGTTCTGCCCTTTCCCCATGGCCTGGCTGAGAGAGGAAGGCGGTTTCCTCCCCCAAAGGATCGTAGGTGTTATGGGTCGCATCGTGGGCCCCGAAAGATATGTTGAAGTCCTAACTCTCAGCGCCTGTGAATGTGACCTCATTCAGAAATGGAGTCTTTGCAGATGTGATTAAGATGTAAGTGAAAATGGGGGCGCCTGGGTGGCTCAGCTGGTTAAGTGTCCAACTCTGGATCTCAGCCCGGGGCACGATCTCACAGTTTGTGAGTTCGAGACCCGCATCGTGACCTCAGGGAGAACGACCAACCAGCCCGGAAAAATCTAGGAGCCCCTTAACCTCTGACCACCTGACACCACGGCCCATCCGGGGCTGAAGACATCCCACCCTTTGGTGTCAACAGAGACCCTCCTGCCTGGAAACTTGCATCACACGAGGAGAGAGCACGCAGGAGAGGGGTCCGCTGCATATCGCCTTGTATTGTCACATGAAATGCACATCCATGATGGGTACTTGGAAACGACCTATCAGGTCACATGGAGTCCGGCCCCTGGGGGCCAAAGCGGCACCGATGCCCGCGGCCGTGAGCTCTGCGCAGGCGCTGGGAGAGGCCCACGCGTGCCTCAGGCCCTCCGGCTCCCGGGCGGCCTCTCCCAAAACGCGCTTGAGGAGACGGCGGTTCTTTGGGGGTTAGTAGCTGTTCCTCGAGAAAAGGGGTCTGTGGTCAAATGCGCTGAGGACACACGGAGTTTGACAGGAAGCATTTGCACAGGACTTGTCAGAGCCTTTATGGCGACAACAGCCCTCGTGAATGTCCGGCACGGGGCCACGGTGCGCGGCATTGCCCAAGTTTATTTGACCACAAAACCCTTTTCCTTCCCAAAGCGTCTTGCAGGCTGGCATCCGGCAGGGCGCCCTTCGGAGAGTGCTGCCCTGAGCTGCCGATGACCGTTAATGGCAGTGGCACCTGTGCTGGGCGGTGGGTGGGGGGGGCGCTCTGCCAGGCAGCGTGCTGTGGGCACGGCGGGCACAGCCAAGCACTCAGCGGTCGTGACGGCGACCGAGGGACAGGACAAGACCCGGCCCCGCTCCCGCCACCTTTAGTTCTCGCCTGCCTTCTCCGTGGCGGAAGCAAAGCGTGGCCCAGAGAGGACACGCGCGGTCCAGGCAAAGGGGCAGAGAGCACCCGCCCCTGCCGGCCGCACCGAGCCTCCGGGCGGCCCGGCCGCGGTCGCCAGCCTCCAACCGCGACGGGGGACGTGAGGCCGCCGGTCGGCCGCCGCGCCTGCCTCCTCTCTCGGCTCCCGGAGCCCCGAGCAGGCGGCTCACCAGGCGGAGATGAGCATCTGGCAGGTGTTCGAGGACATCCAGACCAGCTCCACCAGGCGGAACTGGAAGTAGCCGATGACGAAGCCCGAGATGACGTCCGTGATGTGGTGCCGTCCGATCATCACGCGCGACAGGCCCACGCAGAAGGCCCAGAGTACCAGCAGGACGCGCAGGGGCACGGCCAGCACCAGGTGGCTGAGGAAGAACTTGGACACCATGGCCGCGCGGCTGGCGTGCCCAGCGGGGAAGGCGTACACGTCCATGGTGAGGTAGTCCAGGAGGCTGGGGTTCGTCTCGAACGGGCCGCGGCGCTTGATGAGTTTCTGCACGCCGGCCACCGTCATGATGTCCAGGAGCAGGGCTGTGGGCGAGAGGGAGAGGCCCCGAGGGACCGTCAGCGTCCCCTCACACCCCAGCACCCCCGCCCTGCCTTGCTTCCTTCGCCCCAGCCACGCTGACCCCCCTGGCGCGTTTCTACCCCAGGGCCTTTGCCTGTGCTGTACCTGAACGCCCTTTCCTGGGTTGCCCACCCGGCCCGGGCCCTCCCTTTCCTCGGCAGACCGGCCTCCCGACCGCCCGTTTACCGAAGCCCTGGCCCATCACACGCTTTCTCAGCATCACTCTCGTCTCTCTTCCCTGACGCCACACGTGCTCCGCGAGGGCCCGGACCCGATTTGTTCACGGGGCTCGGTAAAGGTGCCAGCATGACAGAGTGGGTCATCGGGGGCAACACGGGCCCCTGAGGAGGGCCTCGGTCCTGACCCACCAACCCCGGCTGGTGATTCTTCTGGAAGGACCTCACTGACGTCCCTGCGGTCCTGGGAACAGCACACGACTATATCCCTGCTTTGGAGAAGCGAAGGTGAAGTTCGTGTCACCTAAGCGTAGAGTTCAGTGGCATTCAACACATTCACAGGGTTGGGGCGCCTGGGGGAGGGGGGGGCTCAGTCGGTTGGGCCACCGACTTCGGCTCAGGTCATGATCTCACGGTCCGTGAGTTCGAGCCCCGCGTCGGGCTCTGTGCTGACGGCTCGGAGCCTGCTTGGGATTCTCTCTCCTTGTCTCTCTCTGCCCCTTCCCCGCGCGTGCCTTCTCTCTCTCTCTCTCTCTCTCTCTCAAAATAAATACACTTAAAAAAAATACATTCACAGGACTGTACATCCACCAGTTCCCAGTTGCAAAACACGCTTCTCACCCCCAAAAGGAAGTCCGGGACCCATGACACGACCTGTCCCTCTCCTATTGCCCCCAGCCCTGGCCGTCACCGATCTGCTTTCTCTCTCTACGGATCTGCCTCCCGTGGGCACTTCTCATGCAGGGAGTCAGACACGTGGCCTTTTGTGTGAGGCTGCTTTCACTCAGGATCGTGTGTTTGAGGTCCGTCCACGCAGCATGCATTGGTACCTTATTCCTAAAGCGGAATAATAGTCCGCTGCCGGGACACCCCCCCCCCCCCCCCCCGCCGTTTGTGTATCCGTTCGCCTGTCAGGGGACGTCTGGGTTCCTTGCACCTTCTGGCTATTGCGGATGCTTGCGTCCAAGTATTTGCCGAGCGCCTGTTTCCGGTGTTTGTGAGGACAGGCCTATGGCGGAGTCGCACGGTGATATGGTAACTCTAGCTGGTAACTTCTGGAGGAACCGTCACACTATTGGCCGCGGCAGCAGCCGAAACCATATCGTCCCCCTTTTACGGAGGACAAGACCAAGCCTTAGAGGTCGGAGTATTCGTACCTGCGGCTCGTCCTTTCTGGAAGGTTCCGCCCTTTCCCTCCCCCGCCGACTTATTCTCCCTCGTCCTTCAGGACTTTCCCTTACTACTTCTCAGTCCCAGCCGGCCTGATCCTGGCGGCCAGCCGGCATCCAGCAGGTGCGTCGGTGAGAGTGTCTCCTTCTCTGGGGCTCCCCCCAGGGTCGAAATTACCCGACGCCTGTTCCCAGACCTCCGCCACCCGCAGGGAAATCAGAGCTTCCCTGGCGCTTTGGGCGGTGGCCAGCCACAGCCTGGGTGACGGGTGGGCTGCTGGGGTCTGGGGGGTTAATGTGGACCAGGATCGGGCCCTGAGAAGGAGCCAGACGCGACATTAGTCACTGGAAGGCATAGTCGTCTGTCCAACTGGTGACCAAGTTTCTCAGCCAGAAACCAAGGCTCATCACCTTGGCAGGCTGTTGCTGGTTTAAAAGCTGCCTTCCCAGACAAGCGTGAATCCTGGAGCAGGTTGCACAGAGGAAGGCAGGAGGGAGGGGGCAGCGTTGGCATCCTCAGATTTGGTGGCTGAAGGCACGAAGGGCTTGTGCCCGAGTCTCCCCGCATGCCCCAGCCCCCGTCATGGCTGGTCAGGAACCACAGGCCAAGGACTGAGCTAGACCCACACCCTCCTCACTTTTTGGGAGCCAAGCATTTTTTCCCCGTCGAAAGCAAATACGAAGATTCAGTGTGTGGAACAGATAAGAGAGGCGGCCCTGTGGTGAAGCTGGGGGGGGGGGGGAGCTCCGTTTGGGGACCCTCCCCGGTCCCCCCCCACACACAGAGGCCTCGGAGGCTACCTGTGTCCCCTGATTTCAATATTTAGTTTTGAGAGCGAGCGAGCAGGGGAGGGGCAGAGATAGAGGGAGATAGAGAATCCCAAGCAGGCTCCATGCTGCCAGCGCAGAGCCTGACGTGGGGCTTGAACCCCCGAACCATGAGATCGTGAGCTGAGCTAAAAGCAAGAGTCAGATGCTTAAGCGACTGAGCCACCCAGGCGCCCCTGTGTCTGGGCCATGGGGAATCCGCTGCTATTTCTGGCCGGTTCTGTCTCTTGAGGCCATAACGAGGTAGAGACTCTACCCCTTTGCCGCTGGCTGTCCGTCTGGCCCCGCCCATCCTATGCCTTGTTCATTCATTCACTGGACCTCCAGTTCCTGGGCACGGCTGGCTCTCGGGTAGGTCAGGCATGGGCCCGGCCCCGGGCTGGTGAGCCCGGCTGGCCGAGTGCCGTGGGGCCGAGGTAGCAGGTGGGCAGTAAGCACTGGTTATAGAGTTCCTCTACAGGTGCAACGGGACAGTGGTCTCCCAGTCCCCACGCTGTGGCCGTTGGGTGTTGAGGCTTGGAGGAGGAAGAGGCAGGACGGCTCCCCAGCACAGCTGATGCCTTCCCCGGGCCTCTCCCCCCACCCACCCCCACCTCCTGCTGCCAGGACGGGGCTGCCCGCCCCTCCTCCAGCACCCCGGCCAGCCCTCCTTGTGACCATGATTCTTACACTATCAGCGCATAATCTAGGGCCCAGAAATAGAAGCAAGTGGAGCCATCGCTCGGGGCTCCGTGAATTCCGATCGCACAGCACTGTCAACTTCCCTGACCTACATTCCTCCTGGCCTTGGAGAGGAGGCAACGGGGGCCCACGGGGAAGGTCGGCCCGGCAGGATGCTCGGGGGAGAGGGGCAGGACGGCGGCAGAAGCCCGTCGCCCCCGGCGCGCCGTGCGAGCAGATCGGGCCACCTGGCCTCCCCGGGCCTCCACCCGCGGCGGTGAACAAGGGCAGTGGCTGTGCACGCACCTGGGCTCCAGAATCAGAGGCCAGCTTCAAGGTCAGCTGCTTGCCGACCGCACGACCTTGGCACGTCCGCCTCTCCCAGCCTCCCTTCCCCTCATTGACAAAGTCCCGGAGGCCACTCAGAGCGCGGCTCTCAGGACGCGCTTCATAAACGGCGCCTGGGACACAGGGCTCGGCCTCCCTCACCATCCCGGTTGTAGCCATTTCCACTTCCGGCCCCTCTCAGCAAGCTGGGCTCTGAGATGTCCGGGCCCCCAGGCAGGAGGCACAGCCGTTCCCCAGGCCCTGCTGCCCCGGCAGCCTCCCTGCCTCAGAGCAGGACGAGAGACCTGTCTCAGCGTTCCCTGTCCTTCCCCACCCCAGAGACCCTGGGGGCCTGTGCTGCCTGCGGAACCAGGGCGGGGGGGGGGGGGGGGGGTCACAGGGCCAAGGCCAGGGGCCAGACCTTTCTGAGAAAAGAGCTGCTATCATGGGAGATTTGGAATTGGCCGCTCCTGAGGCCTCCTGCCTGCCTGTGACTGGCCGCTTGTGTGTGTGTGTGTGTGTGTGTGTGTGTGTGTGTGTGTCTGCCCGGAGGCAGAGGAATGGCTGAGGTGACCTCTCCTGGCCCCCGTGGAGCTTCAGCTGCTTTCCAGCATGGGGGAATCAGGCTGGGCAGGAGGCGGGAAGGGGGAGGCTGTGGGCTCAGCAGAGAGCCAAACCCGGCCTGACCAGGGCGGGGGTGGGGTGGGGGCTCCTTGTTGGCCGGCGAGGGGACGGGTCTGTGGGCGGTGACTCTCACTGGCTGGGGCAGGGAGGAGGGGTCCCAGCTCTTCCGGCCCCGGGGGCCGACCCTGCCTCTTAGCCCCCCATTCCAACTCCTCCAGGAGCTGGGGGACCGGCCGGCAGGGCTGTGGGGCAGCACCAATCCCTCTAAACTTTCTGAAGGGCATTCGGCCTCAGACCTAGAAGCCTTTGCAACACGACTTCCTTGACTCAGCTCTTCCATTCATAGAGTATCTCCTTGGGAAATAATTAGGGATACGCACCGTGATTCACGGTCTTCCTAACACCGAGGACCGCACCAACGCGATGCCCTTGAGTCAGAGACGGATGGGATGTGTCGTGGCCAAGTCTAGACAATGGCGTGCCGGGGCCACCGCCAACGATGAGGCAGGTGTGTATTTATAGCCACCGAAGGAGCCCTGTGGGGTTTTTTGTTAAGTGGAGAAGGACAAGTACCAAACAGGATTGGCAGTATGATGCCGTTCTTATAAAATAAGATGTAAATGTGTCTATACGCAGAGACACAGAGTCCGGAAGGCTCCACCGACTGGTTAAGGGTGCTCCTCTCTAGGTAGGAAGACGAGGGTGATTTTTTTTGTTGTCTTTCTGTCATCCTGCATTTAATCGTTTTCTTCCCACGAACAGGCGTTATTGGGCACATTGTTAAACAGTTATTTTTACAAAAGGACAAGTAGACTGCACTTTTAGGAGGCGCCCTAGAATAGACGAATTCATAGAGACGGAAAGTAAACAGTGGTTACCAAGGGTTGGGGGATGGATGAACCCTGGGGACGTTCTCAAGTGAAGGCAGGGAATGGGGAGTTCTTGTTTAAGTGGGGACAGAGCCCCAGTTTGAGAAAATGGAAAAATTCTGGAGGTGGGTGGGGGTGACGGTTACCTACGATGCGAATGCATTTAATGCCACTGCATTTTAGCGCTTAAAGATGGTTCACGTGGTCAACTTCCTGTGTGTTTCAGCACAGGCACGCGAAATCTCTTTAAAAAACCAGTGCACGGTTCCAGCAGGATGTAGCTCTCAGGGAGGTGCGCAGCGAGCAGAGG